AGGTGAATTGAGGACACAGCAAGAAGAATGGAATAGGGCTTCCCTTTCCATGAAAACAACACAGGACATGGTAACAAAATGTTGGTTACATGAATGGCAGGAATATTGGAGAGTGAGCAATGGAGAGGGTCCTACTGACCCATGGAGACAACACACCTTCATGGTGTCTTACCAGGGATTTGCCCATGTTTCAGACCCACTGGTTACCCAGAGAGTAAGAAATCACTGAATCCTGCCACTTACTTATAATCTCTTGGTTATCTGTATTTGAGGAATAGGAGAGAATATCACTTTATGGGATTTTTCTTAGGAAAATTTCTAATATTCATTGAGTTTAATTCCACAGAAGATCCCTTTACTATACATTAAAAATGGAAAAAATATGCTGATATAGAAGTTTCACTGTTGAAGAAAAGGTGAGATATGTACAGTCCTTATGTTCTCTTTACCTCACACAACTAATGCGTTTAAAGAAGCAACTGCACTGTGTAATACTAACTGGTGCCATCACGTGAGTCTCCCCAAACAGAACTACTAGTTTCTCACTTATGCGACTATATCCTATTGAAAGTTGACCTCCTACTTCTACTCACAGGGGCTGGCCCCATGGTTAAGGACTATTTGTTGCAAAAATAAAAATTGTGACAGAGTTACCACTAAATGTTCTTCAATCTTGCGATGGATTGCTATGAAAAATAAAAATTCCCAGCACTATGTATCCCCACAGGCTGAGCCCACTGGAGAAGGAAAACAGTGACTCACTCATATGTGGGTCTGGTCTGGGACCACCCATACAGGCTGTGCACATCATAGTGCCGCACGCGGGAGCCATCTGGAAGGATCTGCTCACTCTCCATGCACAGGGTCTTGCTGCTTAGGCCCCGGTCCCTGGCCTCCAGATCTGAGGGAAAAGATTTGGGAAGGTGAAAACCAGCCCTGAGCCTTTTAGTCCCTGACCTCTCCTCAAGGCATTTAACTTCACATCTTAAGATGGACTTGACTTCACAATGGCCCCAACCATGGGATCATAACTAAGAAAAGGGCTTTCTAGACAAATTCAGGAAATTTGCCCAAGAGATCCAGAAACTTGCACCAAAAAGTTTGGAAAAAGACTTGAAATGCTTTCATTTCTGGCCCCCAATAAACCAGAAAACTCAGAGGGTTCTGCTGGTCAGGAAAACCTCTGGCTGCTGAGCTCAAACAATGATTATCTTCCATCTTCCATCAAGCCATGGGAAGCCCAAGGGTCCTTACGTGGCATGTAGGGAGGACGGTTCAGACTGGCATCACTGCAGCCTGAAGGAACAGCCCCATTCACAAAGCTCGCTGGTTCATTCATATCCTAGAAATGTCAGACACAGACACTGCTTACTCTTAACTGAGAGACTTGTTGTCAATTGAGAGTCAAGGGAGTGGTGAATACATCATTCACACCAGTACACCTGCTTGTGGGTACTGGTGTGTGTGCTTGCGCAGTCAGGCTCATCAAATCCAGATAAGAATTGGCTAAAAAAATAATTGATCCCTAAAGGATGACTGTATAGAAGATCAAAACAACACTCCTTCGGGGTAAACAAGTTTCTGAGGCAATCTTGGCAATCTCCCTAGAGGTCTGACAGAGTGAGTTACAAAGCTACAAGGAATATCAGTTCAGGAAATGCAGCATAACATATCCAAAGTCTTTCTCAGAAGTTTACTATCACCTTGACTAAAAGTCTGACTTTCATATGGTAAATCACACCAAGTTAAACACACACACACTTACAATCCACATGCCATCAAACTTCAAGCTCCTCTCTGGATTCTCTGGATTGTTGTACAGTTCTGCAATTTCTCTCTTCCACCACAAGGCAGTTGAAGTACGGAAAAAGTCTGGGAAGGCCACATAAGCTCGGTATTCCTATATATATAAAAACATATATAATTCACTATCCCAAACGAATATGTCAGACAGCAACAGGCACTTTTGAAGAACCTAATTAATGAAAAGACTTGTACTACATTAGGGCAGAGAATGAGAATCTCAATAAAGCCTACCTTATGTTCTTGGCTTATTGAGAATACATTGAGTGCAATGAGGAGAATTATGGATGAATTTTACACATTTGAAAATGTCCATAATATGTTTCCTTTTCATGCCATCATGATTGCTATCAATTGACATCCTGACTCACTATCCCCAGCTTCAGATTTTTTCTATCCTGCCTTTTGCTAAGTTCTCCCAAAGATCCTGCAGGGGCCAGGGAACAAYTGTAGCTGGAAAAGGCAGACATACAGGCACTGTACCAGAGGAAAGGCAAAGAGCAGGTGGCATGGCAATGTGTCATATCCACTGGCAACATGGGAGAGGTGAGAGATTACATTTCATGACTTTAGACTGGCATTTCGTTAGTGTTTTCTGTGGCTTCAGAATCATGTGAGCATTGCAGTTGTGTGTAACATAATATGGAAAAATTTAAGGAGGAACCTCAATAAATGTCTCCTTTTCTCCTTCTTTCATCAAGCAGGAAAAACAATGCCTTCAACTTAGCATGGAAAGTGGGTTCACATATCAGTTCTTAAGTAGTTTGTAAGGTTTTTAGATCAAAGACTTTGTCTTATACACTTTTGATTGGTCTTTATGATCCCTACAATGCAGAGCTTAGAAACTGTCATAAGAGTAAGGGAATGATAATAAATGTTCAGTGTTTAATTTGGGAAGAACATCACTCAGTAGCAGCAAATATGCATGAATGTCTATATATTCTATGTTGTTTGTTAGAAAACACTCTGATCCTTGGTGTATCTCAAAAAAATTGTGTCTCCTCTGTGGTAAACTCTGCCTCATATGATGTAGTGAGCTAAATAAAGCTGGAGAATAGGAAGAATCCCCTAAGAGGACTTGGTATAGGCAAGCTCAAGTTTCTCGTATAATGCAAAAGTGGTGATTGGGATCCATAGATCTAGATAAAAGTCAAATGAGGAACACCAATAAGGAAACAGTAATGGGGCTGGGGATGTGGCTCAAGGGGTATCGTGCTCGCCTGGCATGCATGCGGCCAGGGTTTCATCCTCAGCACCACATAAAAAAAAAGATGTTGTGTCCATCGATAACTAAAAAATAAATATTAAAATAAATTCTCTCTCTAAAAAAAAAGAATAGAAAACAGTAATGGAACATCATGCGCAGGTCTGGTTCTCAGAGGACAGAAAGGGCAAGGGGCCATATGACTGAGAACTTTGGATTCCTTTGTTAGGAAATGGAAATAGAAAAGTATGGAAATAGACACAGARTCTTTCATCACAAACAGAGCTCCAGCTATGGCCATCTCAGAAACCATGGTGTATGTGGAGAGTGGGGATTAAAGAAATGAATCATGATCAGCTGTTTGAGAGACAGAACTGTATCTCCTGTAGAAYACACRTGGTAAATCAGYCCAACCATRGTTTGCTAACTTTCCTAAATGCTGCTGTAATGATCCTTACCCATGTAGTAAAAATTCCCTCCCCTTCGCCAAAGTGCTATCCAAATTCAACTCTTGCCATATTGCTTCTGTCCTCAAACTGTGATGTTCACATCTTCACAAAAGCCCTCAGAATTACTTATTACAAATCATTGCATGATACTGTAATTCAATTCCTAGATGCCACAACAAACTTACTGAATCAAGCAGTGAGATTCAGACTCAGAAATCTGATTTTCCACTACTTCATGGATGAACATTTACTTGCTTATTTGCTTACTTGCTTGCTTATTTCATATTACTCTCAGCAATGGGAGACCTGAACACCAATAATCTCACTTTAATTCATCTCAGCACATGAGTACTACTAATTTAATGGTTATAATTATTCTAATTACCAATAATCTCTTAAAAGCTATCTAATACATTTTTGGTACCCAAATGAAGCAGTTCTCATCACAGGCACAATTTCACATTGGGGTCAAGAGAATTCTTTGTGAAGAATCCCCTGCTATTAGAGGTAAGAGCATCCCTAGTCACTGCCTACCAAATATCAAATGATGCTCCCACATCACTGAGATAACTAAAGAGCCACACAGACTTCTGAATCCCCTCAATATGGCAGCCAAAAATGGCTGATGAACTGTGTTAATTCATGAACTCATAAGATAATAGCCAATCCCTTCAATAATGAAAATGACCTTCTACTAAAGACAGCGAACTTGTGTGTCAGATTGGCTATGGCATGATTGATTATATGTCCTTATGGATTGCCTGAACCACTAAACCTCAAACAATCCTCAGTAATTAATGAAAAAACAAGTACTGAAGTTTTCTTTCTTATTTCCTTATTAGCTAGAAAGTAGATACAGACACAAATACTAGATGAAAAATTAATACTTAGGTGAATTGACAGGAAGGAGAACGAGGGAGAAGGAGAAAGAGTGAAAGGGTGAGAGACAGATAAATAATGATTCAGTACTAGTCAAAAGAAAAAATAATCTTGAATTGATTTTGAATCATTCCTACCAATCTGCCCTGGTGAGATTCTATTTGTTTTACTTCATTTTTGTACTGCAAAAATTAAGGATGCAGAATGTAACTGCCAGATAATCTGAACAAAAATATGGGTACCTCATTTTGATTCTAGAATGCTACTGTTAGCACCTGGGAATCAGAAAGTCAAAGACCAACTAGTACTATTCTCCCTCCTGTGTCCCAGACCTGAGCCCTTGGTCCCCAGAATGTCCTAATCCTAATATCAGTCTTTATCTCTAAGAATGATATCTGGCCACTAAAATTAACTAGTCTGAATAAGGCATGAACATGTGACCTAACTGTGCCAGTTCCATCCCTTACTAATGTCTTTCTCTTATCCCTCCATCCACTGACTAGGATCCTCCAATATAGGAAATGTCCCCTAAGCATAGCCTTCACCCCTGAGATCCTATAGAAGCTAATAGCAAAATTTATAGATACTGTACATTGTTCCCACAACACTATTTTTTTCTGATTAATCCTTGACCTTGAGAGTTTGAAGACATTACAACTTATGCTACCTTGATGTCCATATAGAAGCCATATTCTATGGCCCCTGATCCTTGGTAGGTATCCTTGGAACTACTTTCTTTGCTTCTCAGTACTTTTATAAATACTCATAAACTTCACATGTTATACTCTAATTTCTGTCCAGAAAGAATAATCATTGCTGAAAAGTGGATATAGAAGTAACCAGAAAATATTTGTTCTCCTGAAGAGGCCAGATACCACCCTGACAGCCCCGCTCAAAAGTATTAGAGACCAACTGATGGCAAAGCAGACAGGCCTCATCAGTTCCCTTGGTACACTTCTTGGCCAGAACCTCTGGCTGAAGTCATCATGGACCAGTGTGGAGCCATGTATTCTTTCAAGCAACAAATACTTAGTAAAGCTAGAAAGAAACCTGGGTCAAGCAGCATGGGACAACTTCATTGCAATCAAAACCTGCTCCCAATAGCAAATTTTTAATCAATACTGGAATCTGAGGAGTAAAAATAAAGCTGTGAGACCCATTCACTAAACACAAAGGTTAGAGATACTAGTTAAAAGGAATATTCAAGGCAACAACAATAAGATATAGACTCATTCTAAGAAAAGATTGGTCTTCCTTGAAAGTTTCATACATTGGAAACTCAATAGGCCTATGAAATCAGGTGGGTTTGAATTTTAAAAAAACGTTGTGTCTCCTAAAACCATGGA